AAGGAAATGCTCAAGGCAAACCTCGTACCTTCCTAAATCACAATCACAAGCCTAGGAAATAATGTAAACATTGTTACCAGTAATAGCATTAACCAGAATTGCACAGAGCTGTCATTACCTTTGATGCAGTAAGGCTACACAAAGAAGGGAGGTGTTCAAATACTCAAGATAGCCTTCATCGGCTGTTGCCTTTTAGTCATTTTTAAACTTTGAATAGCCAGCAATCTTCATTGCAGTAGTCAGTCGTAATAGCTGGTTGTTGGCTACTTATCATGATAGCTGCGTGGAAATGCTAATGTTTCTAGTCACAGTAGTGACTACTCAGGGTCTGGCTTTTAGTCAATTAAAAGGTGGACATATTGAATGCATGTTTAACTTAACCATACAATTTTAAGAGATTAGGTGCATTGTCTACAAATTTCTTCACAAATTGGGACGTTCAGACATCCCTGAGGCTTAAAGCATGATCTACATGTAGTCATCACCTGAGTTGTTATGCAATAAAATAATACTAAAAGTGTAATGCTCAAAAGATTCATTGTTTTGGGATTTCCACTTGCCAACTATCAGTTTTTGCATATTTATTAAACAATAATAGAATATTGCCTGTTTTATAAATGGTAAAATAAACTTACCCTTAACCTATTGACCCCTGTGCCCCCTGTAACTGCTCGTGCGAAAAACTCTTCTATTTCCCTGTGCCACCTGTAACCACCCAAAAAAAAGCATGTGGGAACAATTGTCTTTCCTACCCTCCCTGAAGACTTTTTGGTTCTCCTATTGTTCTATTGTTCTTGAGGACAAGTAAACCAATCGGAATGTGCTTTCTGAGCATATTTTTAGAGGACTTAAAATCGTGCACTCAAAAAGTGCAGTTAATCATGGCGTGTTGTGGGCCAAATCTAAAAACTTCCAAGGTCTTGTTTTCATTCCTAACACAGATAAATTACTGATTTGGGTTTTAAAATAGAAAGGAAAAATACAAATCAATGTTTAGTGTAACGAAAGATAATGGTAAAATGTCTTTAATGGCGCACAAACAGTGCTAACCATTACATTGCGAAACTGACCGCAAGGCGCATAAGTTACAAGACTGCATCTTAAATACCGCATACGTGCACGAGTACATACGAACATAACAATCATAATAACACCTAATTACGGGTATGCAACGGGTAATAACAATCATAATAACACCTAATTATGGGTATGCACAGTTTGTCACATTTAGGTGGCCTCAGAATGGAGGATCAAGGAGTACAGAGTCCACAAAACTTTCTGGTGAGGAAGTTTTCCTTGCTACAACCGCCGCGAAAACACGAAGATCAGAGTGCTTTCAAGTAAGTTTTGACGATAGATCGCAGATTTAACGTGGCTTTCCAGACTTAAGAAACAAAAATGGTAATGTACATTATTACTTCAAAGTTGAATTCAACTTTTGAAATGATTGGTAAAGCCACAGGCGTTAAAATGACTGCAAAAGCAGTCGGCCAAAACTCAAGCTTTCGTGTTAGTGTGAAGAATAATTTGAACATGCGGTTCATGCAGTGAAGTGCGTCTGCAAAATTGTGAACAATTTTTTGCTTTTAAATAGGTTTCTTCACCTCAGCTTGAATGAAAATTTATTGTTATTGAACTTTCTTTCATATTTCTTTCATTTGGTTCCCTGTATTTGGGAATTTTAGGTTTTAGAAGTGAACAATAATTTGCACGCTGGATTTCTGCATATTTAATTTACAGCGACCTCCAGGCGCTTTGTTTATTTAGTTTATTCGCTTCGTTGAAATATTTTTTGGATTCTTATTCAGCTACCACAGAACCGCTGAGAAAAGAACGAAATGGCTACTAATTAACACAGTTGAAATACGACTGATCTCAAAATAATTCGCTTCTTTTTGTCATCTTTTTGATTTGAGTTTTATCTTTCTTTCGCAGTGTTGTAATATTTTTGTCGCACGGCGAAGAAATTACTTGATTTTGTGTTTTCAGATTGAGTTTTACATGAGTTCTTCGCACAGGCAGCCCAAGCTCACAATGCGAGGAGTTTTTTTTTTAATCTTTATGCGAATGTTCAGCGCACAAAACGTGACACGGTTACCGCCGACATCTACTATTACACAACGACCGAGTTTGGTTACGCGAAACGTGACCTTCGCCTTGCAGTAAGTGGTGGTGTTGTGTTACAACGGTTTGAATTTATAAAGGGAAAACGGTAATCGACATTATAGCTGAAATTTTGGTATTTTTGCAATAAAAACGACTCACCTCAATGCCTTGTTGTCTTTTCTATTGTAATCTCACTTCTCGGCTCGATCCAAAGCCTTTTAAGCAAGTTGTCGCTTTTTGGTTTTCCTCTACTAAGAAAGTGTTAAGGCTACACACTCGATTCTGGACTGACCCCCACTCGAAGCGCAAAAAAAACCACTGAAATCCCACCAGCCGCCCCAATTGCTCCGCAGAATCATAGTACAGGTTTAAGCGCTCCCTTGCAGTTAAATTCCAAGCCAAATTCATCTCCACA